AATTTCCCCTGTATTGGCTGGGCCACCCAGAGTGTAAAAGGCCTGGACGGGGTGGAATTTGTTAAATGTGTCCAAGAATTTTCCTAAATCAATATGTAGAGGGCGGGAGAGTACAACACTGGACCTCCTCTTAGGAAACGAGGTCAGACAAGTGACTGAAGTGTCAGTCGGAGATCACTTTGGATTCAGTGACCATAACTCTCTTAGTTATAACATAGTTATGGAAAAAGATAGGACAGGTCCACAGGTTAAGGTGCTAAACTGGAACAGGCCCTGTTTTGGTGTCATTAGGCAGGATCGAGCAGCGATCGATTGGATGAGTCTGCTTGAAGGAAAAGTAACGAGTGGCAAATGGGAGGCTTTTAAAAGTACGGTATCAAAAATCCAGGGACAACATGTGCCCGTTAGGGTGAGGGGAAAAGCTGGCAAGTTTAGGGATCCCTGGTGCATGAAGGATATTGAGGTTCTAGTCAGGAAAAAGCAGAAGGCATACATTGGATTAAAGCTATCGGGCTCAAGTGAATCCCTAGATGACTATAAAAAGTGTGTGAGCACACTTAAGAGGGAAATCAGAAGAGCGAAAAGAGGGTACAAGATGAATCTGCCAGAGGAGGTTAAGGATAATCCTAAGAGGTTCTATAGCTATATTGAGAGTAAAAGGGTGGCTAGGGAGAGAATAGGTTGCCTTAAAGATCAGCATGTGTGGAACCACAGGATATGAGGGAGATTTTCAACGAATATTTCTCCTCAGTGTTTACTGAGGAGACAATCATGGATGCTAAGGAAATAAGGAAAACATGTGGGGATGTTTTGGACAGCATACATATTACCAGGGAGTAGGTGTTTGCAGTCTAAGATTGCTTTAACGTGGATAAATCCCCTGGGCCTGATCAAGTTTATCTTCGGACATTGTGAGAGGCTAGGGAAGAAATTACAGAGGCCCTTGGAGAGATATTTGCTTCATCTTTAGCCACTGGTAATGCTCTGGAAGACTGGAGTGTGACTAATGCTGTTCCATTGTTTAAGAAAGATAGCAAAGACAAGCCAAGAAACTACAGGCCAGTGAGCCTGACATCAGTGGTAGGCAAGTTATTGGAAAGGGTGCTGAGGGACAGAATCAGCAAACATTTAAATAGTCATTGTCTGATTAGGAATAGTCAGCATGGATTTGTGTGTGGGAAGACATGTCTGACAAATCTTTTACAGTTTTTCGAAGAGGTAACCAACAGGATACATGAGGGTAACACGGTGCACGTTACCTATAAGGACTTTAGTAAGGCTTTTGACGAGGTCAAGCACTGCAGGCTAGTCATGAAGGTTAGGTCGCATGGGATCCAGGGAGAGCTAGCTAATTGGATTCAAAACTGGCTTGATGGTAAGAAGCAGAGGGTGATGGTTGAAGGCTGTTTCTTGAACTGGAGGCCTGTGACTCGTAGTATGCCACAGGGGTCAGTGCTGGGGCCTTTGTTAATTGCTATTTACATGAATGATCTGGATGTAAATGTACAAGGCTTGCAGATGATACAAAGTTAGGAGGTATAGTTGATAGCGATGAAGGTTACCAAAATTACAGAGAGATCTTGATCAGATGGGGAAGCGGGCTGAGGATTGGCAAATGCAATTCAACACAGATAAGTGTGAGGTGTTGCACTTTGGAAAGTCAAACCAAGGTAGGACTCATACAGTAAATTGTAATGTCCTGAAGAATGTTGTAGAACAGAGGGACCTAGGAGTACTAGTACATAGTTCTTTGAAAGCAGCGTCACACAGGTAGACAGGGTGGTGAAAAAGGCATTTGGCAAACTGGCCTTCATCAGTCGACGTATTGAGTATCGGAGTTGGGGCGTTATGTTACAGTTATAGAAGTCATTGATGAGGCCGCACTTGGCGTATTGTGTACAGTTTTAGTCACCCTGCAATAAGAAAGACATAGATAAACTGGAAAGTGTGCAAAGATGATTTACGAGGATGTTGCCAGGACGACTAGGGCCTGAGGTATAGGGAGAGGTTGACCAGGATTGAACTTTATTCCTTGGCACGTAGGAGATTGAGGAATGACCTTATTGAGATGTATAAAATCACGAGGGTCATAGATTAGTTGAATGCAGGCAGTCTTTTCCCCAGGGATCGGGAATTGCAAACTATAAGGCATACGTTTAAGGTGAGAGGTGGAAGATTTACGAAGGACCTGAGGTGCAACTTCTTCACACAGAGAGTGGTGCATATATAGAATCGTCTGCCAGAGAATGTGGTTGAGGCAGGTACAATAGCAACATTTAAAAATGACATTTGGGTAGGTACATGGATGGGAAGGGTTTAAGTGACCCAAGTGGACATCATGGACAGCATTGACCAGTTTGTGTTGAAGGGCCTGTTTCCATGTTGTATTAAGCTATGGGACACAGGTAGCTTATATAAGCTGGTGGAAGATTGGCTGTCACAGAGGCTGTTCAATGTCACCTTTCTCTTCAGAACCATACAATAAATAAGACCAGCAATTATCGAGCGACATCAGAACCATTTGAGATATACAACAGTGTCAAACATGGTTGTATTCCAGCAATGATATTCTTATGCATATTCTTCTCTTTGCTACAGCCACATGACTTCCGGTCACCCATCGACAGTGTCTGTTTGCATAGCGTAAATGATGGAAACTTGTTTAACTTTGTTTAAATGATATCGACGACAGAGTGTACCAATTCACTGTCAGAGTTTCTCTCTGCTGGTGATGCAACTTCAGCACTCTTTAACAAGGTACGCATTCAGCGATAAATCGACATACACGATTACATTTTTTTTTGGCTTCAGCATCAGGAACGCAATGCTATGATCTAAGGCTTTGCCATAACACCGTCTATGGCCACTGACTACGTAATAATGGAGATGGTTAATAGCTTTACATGTCTGTGCTCAAAATCAGCTAACAATCTGTCACTCAGTGTTGAAATGAACACATTAATCAGGATAGTGACAAATGTTTCCAAGATGGTTAAGAGATTATGGAATAGCGACCTGACTTAGAAAGGCAAATTGTGCGTCTAGCTTATCTGCATCTTTAGCACATCCGTCTACTGTACTGAGACCTGGATGTCATCTGATGCAATGGGGAAAATGCTGAAAAGTTGTTGTCTTCAATGTCTAACCCATACATTTGACACCGCTTTATATCACTAAGGCATAAACTCAGAGATCTTGGAACATGATAATTAACTCAACTAACGTTTATTGTTAAGTCAACGAAGTTTGTGCTTGATTGGCCAGTATTTGAATGGATGACTTTGTGTATGGTTATCTAAATATTGGTTCATGATTGCCTCAGCTTCCTTACATCTGTGATAAGTATCACTTCAAGCATACTATGAAAATGACAAGCATTGACACCGATGATTTTGAAAAACCTGTCCACGATCATGATCACTGGAGGCTTACTTTGTGGAGACGTTTTGGAAGAATAATTCGTGATGACACAAAAATAGGTAGGAAAGGCTGCTGATGCAATGTTACATAGGAAAGTAACAGTCCGATAAGTGCAAAGGGATATAAATACAGAAGAGTGGCAAAGATCTGTCAAATTGAGTATAGTGTGGTGGGGGGTGGGGGGAGGGGCGCTGGTGGGGGCGGGGGGGATGTGAAATTGCCCATTTCAGGAGGAAGAATAAAAAAAAACATTGTCTAATTTGTGAACGATTGCAGAACAATGAGATATTCTAGTGTGTGAATCACAAAACATTAGTTTGCGGGTGCAACAGGAAATAAGGAAAACCAGTAATGTTATTTCTTATTTTGGGGGACTGGATAGAAAAGTGGAGATGTTATGTTTCAGTTATACAGGGAATTGCTGAGACTATACCTAGAAAACCAGTTACAATATTGGTTTCCTTATAAAGGAATGAAACGTAAATGAATTGGAATCAATCCAAAGTGTTTACTAGCTAATACCGGGAATTGTTGGGTTGTCTTACGAGGAAAGCCTACACTAGTTCTCCCACAACCGGTGATGTTCAAAGGTGAGTTGATATGCTATCATGATAGGTCTTGTCATGGGGAAGTGTGAATAATGTTTCTTCTGTGGAAGAATCTATATGCAGGGGTCAGTGAAAAAGCAAAAGGGATAGATGAAGATGAGGAGATTTTCTTTCTCTCTCCCAGATAGTCACAGGTATTGACAGAATCATAATATCATACAACGAGGAAATCAGCACTTCAGTCCAACCAGTCTATGCTGAACATGATTCCAAACGAAGCGATTTCCCCATTCTGCTCCCGGCCCATAACCTTCCAAATCTTTCCTGCCCATGTATTTAACCAAATGTCTTTTAAACGTTGCAATTGTGCTTACATCCATCACTTCCTCCGGAAGTTCATTCCACATGCGAACCGCCCTCTGTGTAAAAATATTGCCCTTTGTGTCTTTTTAAAATCTCTCTCCTCTTGCCTCAAAAATGTGCCCTCAGTCTTAAAATCCACCCCGTAGGGAAAAGACACCGACCATTAATCTTATCTATGCCCCTCATGACTTCATAAACTTCTTTAAGATCACCTCTCAAGCTCCTGCACTTCAGTGAAGAAAATCCCAACCTATCTAACTTTTCATTATAACTCAAATCTTCCATACCAGGGAACATGCTGTTAAATTTCTTCTGAACCCTCTCCGCCTTAATAATATCCCCCTATAACTGGACACAGCACTCCAGAAGCGGCCTCACCAATGTCCTGTATAACGTCAGCATACTTCCCAACTCCTATACTCAGAGCAATGAAGGAAAACATGTTAAACCCTTTTCTAACTACTCTGTCTACATGTGAAACAGAATTCAAAGAATTATGTACCTGAGCTTTAAGGTCCCTCTGTTCTACAACACCACCAAGGCCCTACTATTAATTATACAAGTCCTACTTCTCAAAACACATCTTCGAAAAAGTTTGCTGCAGAGGTAGGTAGATTCGTCGTCAACAAGAGGGTGAAATGTTATCAGGGGTTCAGATTAGTCACTAACATGCTAATGGACTACCGGGCTTTAGAAGCCACGTGGTCAACTTCAGCTCCTGAATCAACTGTCCTGCATTACGAGCCAAAACATTAATTTCAGTTGACTGAGAAGTGAGGAAGAAAAGACAAGGAAACCCTGCAAGTTGTTAATATTAGTGCCTTCCTCTGCTGAAAAGTGACAGATTGTCAGGCAGAGCTCCTGAGCTACGCCAGGCAATGCTAAACAAAGATTTAACCACCACGCAAAAAACATGGTCTCACAAGATGGAAGGCGCCAATGTATTGCTGAAGGACTTCATCTGGAGTATTGTGTGCAGGTCTGGTCGCCCTGTTACAGGAAAGGTATTATTAAAATGAAGAGGGTTCAGAAAAGATTTATCTGGATGTCGCCAGGATTGGAGGTTTTGGATTATAAATATAGACTGGATAGCTTGGGACATTTTTCACTTGGAGCATAGCATTTCGAAAGGGTGAATGTATAGAGGTTTATTAAATCGCAAGAGGCATAGATAAGATGAATAACAAAGGTTTTTTCTCTAATACAGGGGAGTTCAGAACTACTGAATATTTTTTGGGTGAGAGGAGAAAGATAGCAAAAAAGACGAGGGGCAACTCTTTTACACAGAGAGTTGTTCGTGTATGAAATGGACTGCCAGAGAAAGTGGTAGATTCAGGTACAGTCACAACTGTAAAAGACGCTTGTATAAGTACATGGATAGGAAAAGTTTGGAGGGTTATAGGCCAAATGCAGGCTGGTGAGACTAGTTTAGTTTGGGGACGTGGTCAGAGTGGAATATTTGGGCCAAAGACTGTTTCCATGCTGTATGACTATGACTCTATGAATAGGTAATCAGCTGGTAATTACTAACTTGCATCAGAACCGTTCCCATTAGTTAAAGCCATGACGGACTGGACTAAGCCTTTATCTCTGCGGATTTTGTACTTTCTTGCGATATAGAAAGTTACTGCTTATTGTGTAAGTAACATATTGCTTGTTGCATTCCACTGGTTTAGCTGGCATTTATGAAACCACTATTATACCAAAAATAAACAGGAAATTCCGTAATGCTACATTAACAATCTCTTTGTGCATCCTTAGCAAACACATCTAGTTTCCAAAAGAGCTAGACTTATGAAATAAATGCAGAAAACGTTGCAAACTCAGAAAGTTTGCGTGTACGTAGAGATTAACTGTGCTCCTGTCGACCTCATTGGCTGCTCCTGAAAAAATATTTTAATATTTAGGTGCTAACTTGTGAAAAAGCTGCTCACCTCATTGGGTATATCAGACCAATTATTCGTCAGTTTTCCACTCTGTTGTGAAGCATCCATCGCGTTCCTTTCAATCGTTCTAGGTATTTGTGGACTGAACTTCGTGAAAATCATTTCAGCTGGTTCCGGCGTTGAGCGGATTTTATATCGGTAGTTTTCTGAAAAGGATCCATTACGACGGAATTCTAGAATATTTGGAATTAAATTGGAATCCGGTACGTTTTGAAGATTGACACCCGAACTCTGATATTCCAATTCTCTACTGCAGCAACAATCAGAAAGAGAGCAAACTCGACCATGAGCAGAACTTCCACCCATTGGGCAGACAGCAACGACAAGGACAATGATAACAATTAGCAGAACAAATGACGTTGCTCCCAAAGATATAATGATGTAAAAGGTTAGTCTCTCTGAATCTCGGAAACCCTTGCTGGATTCACTAACATCCGTTTGAATGTTTATGCTTTCCTCAACTATTGTCAATGTAATAGTGGCTGTGGCCGAGAGAGGTGGGTATCCGTTATCTTTCACTTGAATAATCAACCTTTGAGTTTCGGCGTCGCTATCTTTGAATCGCCGAACACTTCTTACTTCTCCCGAATTACGTGAAATTATGAAAAGACCTGGGTCGCTGGATTGTATAATTAGATAGAAAAGTCGTCCATTTTGACCAGAATCTGCATCGGAAGCAATGATCTTGGTTACCAAATATCCTGGGTCTGCAGATCGAGGCACACTTGAATTGGTACGTGTTTCTGATCCAGGTGATATTATAATAGGACGGTTGTCGTTTTGATCAAGGACAATCACATTCACAGCAACATTGCTCGAAAGTGACGGCAATCCAGCATCTTGTGCTTGAACGTGGATCTGAAAACTTTTAAGCTGTTCGTAGTCAAATGAGTGTTTTGAAAATATAGTGCCATTGTTCGGATTGATGTAAACGTATGAAGACGCCGGGAACTGCTGAAAACGCTTCTCCACAATTATGTACGTAATCTGTGAATTTTGAGCGATGTCAGGATCAAAAGCTGTCACTGATCCGATGGAACTTCCAGGCACATTGTTTTCTGTCACGTAGATTTTGTATGAAGACTGTGTAAAGCGTGGCGCATTGTCATTTATATCGGAAATCTGCACAACGATAGTTTTGTTGGTGGAGAGTGAAGGGGATCCGCGGTCCGTGCACGTGACCGTGATTTTGTATTGAGGGATACTTTCTCGGTCCAACACTTTATTTGTGATCAGTCTGTAAGAATTCCTAAAGGGTGATTTCAGATCAAAAGGGACGTTTGGAGAGATCAGACAATCTGTGTGTCCGTTTTTGTTGGAATCTCGGTCTGTTACACTGATCAATGCTACCAGAGTTCCAACTGGAGCATCCTCACTGATTGTCCGTGAGATAGAATTGAGAAGTAAATCAGGCGGATTGTCATTGACATCTTTGATCTCCACTCGCACGTTACAATGAGCAAATAGTGGTGGTAGACTCCGGTCTTTAGCTTCAACATCAATCTCATAATTATTTGTGTCTTCAAAATCCAGTATTCCCTTCACCCGTATCTCACCGGACATTGAATCAATCGTAAACATGTTTGATACGCTTTCCTCATTGTAGCTACTAAAAGAATAAACCACCTCACCATTAGGCCCTTCGTCCAAATCAGTGGCATTCAGTTTAATCACTAAAGAGCCAGTTGGGGCGTTTTCCATTAGACTGACAGTATAGAATGACTGTCGGAAAACCGGGGCGTTATCATTCGTGTCTAAGATTATAATAGCTATGTGTGCGATACCTGTCCTTTCTGGAGATCCCCCGTCAAAAGCTGTGAGCAATAGCCGATGATTTGCTTGTTTTTCTCTGTCGAGAAAATTCTCCAGCACTAATTCGGGTACTTTGTGTCTGCCGCGACTTTGCACATCTAAAGTAAAATATTCATTTGGTGTGAGCTGGTATGTGCGGACAGAATTATTTCCTCCGTCAAGATCGTGCGCGTACTCTAGGAGAAAGCGCCCTCCAGGCATCGCTGATTCTGCAATTTCGAGACGAATTTCACTATTCGAAAAGCTCGGTGAATTATCATTAATATCGACAATCTCAACTTCGACCTGGTACTGCTCTACAGGATTTTCAAGTACTGCTTCCAGAGACAATAAACACGTAGCACTCTGTCCACAGATATGTTCCCTGTCTATCCTTTTATTAACAAATAAAATTCCACTCTTGCGATTTACATCCAAATATTGCATTGAAGAGGCAGATACGATTCTGAATTTACGGCGTGATAGTTCCTCCACTGTCAAATTCAAATCTTCTCTGATTTTTCCGACGAAGGCACCATGTTGCAGTTCTTCGGGAATGGAGTAACGAATCTGCCCGGAAACCAGATTCCAAACACAAAGCAGAAAGATGGTCGATATCGGCAACAAGCGATTGCTGGGTTGTTTCATTTCTTTTGCTACTATGATTGTTCCAAACCTTAAAAAATCTCCTGGGGAATAATGTGCTGCATCTTACCACAAGTAAATCGATCAGGGTGGCAGATTAACTTCAACGCGAAGAGATCTTTTGAGGAGATGGCTCTTTCATTTGCACAGACACCACCATTTCTTCTGCTTTTCTCCCAGGATGTTGGGGGATGGGTGGTGGATCACCAGCTGTATTTCATCTCCTTATTGGTAGACAGCGACACAAAGAGTCTTTACATATAATTGCACTGAGAAAGTGTTAACACTGATCTTAATTGAAAATATTGAAATTATGATAATCTGGTTGTTATGCATAAGGGTACAGAATAAGTCTTGCATTTGAAATCGTTGCATCGAAATTCCCACTAAGCTTACATTTACCTAAGCAGAAGAAATATTTAAATACGAGCTTGCAGTTCTTTCATTGCATCTTTGCTGACAGAATCCAACTTATTATTGTGACTTATATTAAGTGCCATGAAACTTAACTAGTTAAAATTCCCGACGACTAAACTGCATAATCCTTATGTCATTGAACGTTTGTCATGGTCGGAAGTATAATTCAGGAGCAGACAAAGTTGTTGAGTTCACGTTCAATATTGCTTTACACTCTCGTTCAAAATTGTTATTAACGTAATTTTGATGCTCAAGTGCCTTCAATGAACCACGTACCTTGCTGACGTATTGACGTTTCTCTTTGATTGATGGTAAGTCTTGTCAGATAATGAATAGTGTACAAACCTGTCTTCTCGAGGTTACAAATAATATCAGAGTACCGAATCTATTATAAGTCACAACTTCAATTTTGGTAATAAAATGCAGTCAAGATATCGTTGTGCGCTGTTGTGAAGATACATTTAATACATTACCTCTGAACATCGTGAAATTAATGCATATTCATTTGCATATTCTTGTTCTATTACCACTACTCTTTATGCCTATATCGGTGACTGATCATTTGATGTTAAATCTGATGTGCAAGTTCATGGTTGTTTAAGAACTTCGCCTAGACAAGAATAGAGGATTCAAATATTTTCACATTTCGGTGATCATATACTGTAACAGCTGAGAACTAACTGCGAAATAGACTGTCTCTGAGAGGGGCTCGCCAGTTCGGAGTCAGTTTTCTTTATTAGTTGTTAGGCTGTTCTGCAGTCCAACTTCACGTAACATACTTCGTCATCTGAAGAAATAACAATAGATCTTATCTAGTGTCAAAGTAAACTTCCCAATGCTAATGTTCCTGATTATCTTACTATTATTTAATCAACCAAGTTTTGTTACTCAAGTATGTACCTCTTTTAAGGTTTATTGCTATTTAATCCTTCTCTGTTTAACAATAGTGGACCCGGCAGAAGTTGGAAGTTGGTTACACCATAACTATGCAAAAGTAATCCTATCAAGTGCAGGCTGGAGCCATCTCTTACAATCTAACAAAGAACAAAGAACTGTTGATGCTGGAAATCTAAAAAAAACAATGGATAAACTCAGCAGGTCTGGCAGCATTTGTGAACAGAAAATAGAGTTAACGTTTTGAGACCAGTAACCACTTATGAAGAAGGAAAACTGGACTCGAAGCCTTATTTCTCCTTTCTCGCCACAGATACTGCCAAACCTCTACGTTTATTCAACAATTTCTGTTTTAATCTCTTAAAGCTCTATATTTTTGTCAAATTATCCATATTAAATCGTCGTTTGCCAATGCAATAAATTTCATACAAGCTATTCAATGCGAATTGTACACCATCCTGCCTGTGATTTAGCGCTTGCGTCACTTTTTTTTTCAAAGTACAGAACCAATCCAGAATGGTTATGGAGACATAGCTTCATCATTACACTAAGGTCATATGGAACACAATGTGTTAATACCTGTATTATATCGGATAGGCCTAGAGCTGGAGGCGCAGCTCAAAATGACAGCCCAAGAGCTGCTGTAGAGCATGAACAACAGAATGGCATTACACCAGTACTGCGATCAGGAGACAACTTAACTCTAACAGTACTTTCGAGCAAGGGGACCAACAATGATTAAAGTAGTGGTGTAGAAGTGCATGCTTGAAGCAGTGTCATACGGAACTAACATATATAAAGCACTTTGTTTAGGGCGGAACAAACAGCAAAACACATGCTAACCAGAGCAAGTAAGATGGAAGTGACAGAGTCAAGCAATCCCATAACAAATGGAGTTGGATGATATTTTTGCAGTAATGCCATATATAGTCGTAGTTCGTAGCTCGTAATTAAACGTATAAAAGGCAGAGGGGCTACCATGATAGCTCACGCTGATACTGGTGCTGTGGTTACTTATGTGAGAGCAAATACAAGGCGGAAGCATCTGTAACAATACTCAGCCAGAAGCAGCAGACAGCGATACATCGTAGTCTCCTTTTGAGATCTTCAGAATCACAAATGCCAGTCGTTAGCTAATTAGATTCAGTCCACCTGAAATCAAGAAATTGTTGAACATATTTAGTGTCTCAGTTATGGCGAAGAACGCTGGTCTTCCAAGATTTTCTGTACCTCTAACCAGACTGTTCCAACACATCTACAACACTGCCATCTAGCCGACAAATTAAAACAAATGTTTAGGAGCGCACAGTGCAGATACAATTACATCAGGACATTAAACAATTCTCCAACTTGCTCTCAGTCATCAAAAAAAAAGTGATGCAAAATATCACTTACACTGCTAGCAAACACCATTTATCCATCACGACCAGAACAAATTGCTCCCATAAAAAAAAAAGCCCTGGTACATCCATGACCAAAAGAGCAGAAACCTGTGTAAAAGTGAGAGTGAATTATTTGATCACATGGCCGCCTTTGGGCAAGTGTCGTATCGAGGAATCCAAGCAAAACCGAAGTAAATGGCAATCGTGTATTGATCTCTACTCTGTCTTACGTCAGGCCGATTGGAACCAAGATAATTGTAGTTGTTGGAGGCCATCAATATCCAAAAACTTCGCTGCAACAGTTCATTACAGTCGTTCCTTATCCACAACCATACCCATAAAACAAAATAAAAGCTATTGACGCTGGAGATCTAAAACAAAATCAGACTGTTCTGGAGAAACTCAACAGGTCTGGCAGCATCCGAGGAGAGAAATTTGAGTCAACATTTCAGAGGAAGAAGGAACACTGGACAAGAAATGTTCATTCTGTTTTGTCTCCACAGATGATACAAGACCCTACTGAGTTTCTCCAGCAATTTCTCTTTTTGTTCTCAACTGTATCGAGCTTCTTTATCAATGTCTCACACATGAACACAATAATTAAGATGGACTCATTAACTGAAGAAACTAACAAGGACATTTAACTTGAGGTCAGAAGTTGGGATATTAACGCAAGATTGCACGGTGTTCACAAAATAAACCAGGACGTGCAACATGCACTGGACGCAGTTTAGACTTTGAGTTCCGATAAGCAATAATTTTTCGGGCCACACAATTGTCAAGTACTAATTATCCCAAATAAAAAGAGAGACAAAGGATATTCCTTTGATTTTTACAGAGCTCGAAATTACTGAATCTCCAAGCAAAGCAAGCAGTGGGTCACTATACTTCTCAAATTTAACTGGATAAACTGTGTAAACACTTTGGTTACAGAATCATGTCAGAGGCTCGGTATTCTGCAGCGGGTATCTCACATCCTACGCTGAAAACTCTTCTTAAAGGACATTTTCAATCCATTCGGGAGTGCAAGGGAATGGTACTTGAATGAGTGCAATTTCAACAAAATACAAAGGTACATGAACGATCCATGACAAAGAACTTCATTTGAAATAAAATGGAATGCTTTACCCTAAATCATTCATGCTTAAACAACGGTCTCATTGTTTAGTTTTCAAATAGCCTGCACAGGTTTCATAGTTTAACTTCCTCTTTCTGTGCTGAATAATACTATCATTCCATATATTTTATTAATGAATCCGACTCAGAGACCTTACTACACAAGCTACGAGCAGGTGGGACTTGAAGCATAACTCCTGACTCAGAGACAGCGATATTGCCACAGCTCCGCAAGAAATCTAACAATGATCCTCTAAAGAACCACAGACACTGCAATTTAAACAGAGAAGATGGCGTGGTCGTAAGACCATGGATGATTAATTGATTGGTGTTTCAGAGCCCCAGATGAACACTTTCCAAACGTGGGCTCAATTCCATATATTCAGCTGGTAGAACTTAAATAAGCTAATAAAAAAAAACCTAGCCTTAGTAATAAAATAGTGTGGAACGGGAGGAACACAGCAGGCCAGGCAGCATCAGAGGAGCAGGAAAGTTGACGCCTCGG